CCCGGCCCGCGGGGCTGAGCGGGGGGCGAGAGCGGGCGCAGCCTGGCTTCGGGAGGGGAACTTTGCCCCCACGCACGTTTGTGTTGGGAGAAATCCCTCTCCTCTCCCCGCCTCAGTCAGCTGAGGGGGTGCGCCCACCCTGGCCGGGGAAGGAGGGGATGTGTGTGGAGGGGCTCCGCTTGCCCGGGAGCGAGGTGGCAGGTGACGGGCGCTCCGTCCGGCCTCGCCTGAGGGGCGAGGAGGTTCGTGCTTCCCCCCGCTTGGGCTACGTCTCTCTCCTCCCGCGGTCTCCAGTGTTTGCTTTACGTGCGAGTGCAGGAGGGATACTCATTCTTGCTCCTCTGTGATCCCCCGGGCTTGAGCCGTATTTCTTTCTCCTCAGGCATCCCCTTTTTTCTGAGGGTGTTAAGGAGACTTACTTCCTTCTCGTCTTTGTTCCTGCTACTTTGCCCCAAAGATATCTGTCGGCAGGCAGGAAGGAGAAGACCCCTTTAACTCTGAAAGCACGTTTCTGAATGCCGTGTTTTTGCCGATTTCTGGCATGCCTGGGAGGCTCGGCTTTCAGATGCAAGAGTGACGTGTAGTTCTGAAGGCTGCTCTGCTTGATCTTATCTGTGGCTGTTTATCCTGTGACAAAGCGTGATATGTTTAGATCTTGCCCTAGACAAGATTAGATGGGTAGCATGTGAAATAGATGTCACTTGTAATTCTCTAGCTAATGTTAAATATATAGCTACTGGTGGCTAAGAGATTGCTCCATACACGGTAACATTTAAAGAGACCTTGGCAGCTTGACATGAAGTTTTTTCTTCTGATCTTATTGGAAGAGCATAAGAAGGAGGGCAACGTCAGTTCCACTTGTCAACTTTCCCTCTGCTAACCTGAAACTAGTATGTTTCTAACTCCCATGTGGCCATAGATGTTTATGTCCAAACAGGGTTATTGTAGTCATGCTAGTATGCTCTATGAATGAACCTGAGAAGTATGCGGTTAGATATTCTGGTAGCTGGTAAAGAATCCAAAATGTACAATAGATTAATATTCGGCATTACTACTTCTATATAAGAAAATTTGTTTGAAACTTTGTTTAATGAATTTTTGGGTAAGTGCCAAGTAGGAAACATGTTCCTCTTATTCCTGAGATAGCAGGATCCAGCTGTACCATGACAGTTTGATTGTATGACTGTTACATTGTGCATTGCCAGATTCCTGAAACATCTCTTTATGTGAAGCTAAATTCTCTTAATTTGGTACTAAAATTAGTGCATTTTCTGTGCAAACTTTGGTCTTGTGTAACTTCTTATTTAGCTAGGAACTGTGATCTCTGCTTACAGTACCCAGTACTGGCATGAAAAACTTGGCTTCAGTTGCTTTTTTTTGGGCCTTCTGCTTCACTATATTCTACAGATTCTACAGTAAACTTTCCTTGAGTAAAGATCACAGGGCTGTAATGAATATAACTGTCACGTTGCATGAGGCTCATTGTTCCATCTCTTCTGAAGATTCTTGGTTTTGCTCTCATCCCATGATACCCCCTGGAAGTTGAGTGGAGGTCAGAGTTGTGTTAAATTAACGTCACTTTAATGTACATTTCCAGATTTAGAAAGATGGGTGTAAAATGTCTGTCAGTTTACTTTCAGCTTTTGTCTGGTTAGAGTCAAAGCAGTGTTTCTGTTTATCTTATCTTGAAAGTAATCAAATATGAAATGAGAATCACCTGATGACTGTATATATTAAAGGGGGAGTTGTAACCCAGAACATGTATTGAGCAGCCAGTATAACTGGAAAAACTGAAACCATTTATTCTGTGTGCAAACCTTATCTTGGTATGTTGTCTTTCAAATTGTATGTGAAATAATCTTGAGTAAATACAAGGAAGAATTTCAAGTTGACTTGCCCGCACCATGCTTTGTGACTGAGCTGCTGTTCTGGGTCCCTTGCTATTCGTGTTATTATGTACATGGGGGGAAATGATCCTGTTTGGCAATGATTTGCCAGTTTATTTGTTTTTTTTTTTTTATTCATAATGTTCACTTCCCTACTTGTCAATACAATAAAAGCTATTTCATATTTTGTGAACTTCATTTGATTTTTCTTTTTTAGGGTGGAACTTTTAATATAAAAAACCTGATAATCTGCACAAAGAAACATTTAGCGCTATAGAAGTAAGATTGCACATTAAGTATCAATGGTGGAATTACACATCCTGTCCTCAGAAGTCACTTATTGCATGTTCAGAACAGTATAGTTGGACAGGCTACTGAGCCTGTTGGCTTTAGTGTAATCAGCTACGTGAACATACTTTCTAGACTACATAGTGAGGCCAATTTTTCTTTTTTGTGTATCATAAAGTGATGACTCAGCTTTAGTGATCTAGGATACTGTAACATTTTAAAAACAAAATACAAAGTCATGACAAAGAAAGTTAAGTATATTTTTTTGTGTTTTTTTTTTTTCAGAAGATCTTCCTGTAACTGGCTAAAAAATGGTTCCACAAGATGACAGCACCAACCCTAACACTTTTGTGATGGTAAATAAATAAAAAAAAAAATAATTAAAAATCCGTGTGGTTTGCTGAAAATTATAATGACATTAAGAAATGCCATTTAAATGAATATTCCTTCAAATGTAAAATTGCAGCTGGTATATTAAAAGTTACACCATGTGGAAAGGACATTTATTTCGTAATAATGGAAACAAAAGGCAAACATATGCTGAAGTTTCTACTGTGTTTAATAGAGTAGAATATTGTATTTACTTTTAAACCATTGTTTTTACGTCAGCCTGTATGTCCCCTGGTGGCTTAAATTTATAACTCTGGGCACTTGATTAATTAAATGTTTTGTAAGGGTAAAGACATGTTCTTAGGGAGAAGTGTCCTGTACAGTTCTCATTTTAGGTGTTAAATGTTATATTAATATGATAAACTTTTATCATTATCCTGAAATGGGTTAACTGTTGGTTATAAGCATTGAACAGGCTTCTGTGTGATCACACAGGACTACAGCCTGCAGCAGATCTTGCGTGCTGCTGGAGGGTAAGATACACGTCTTGCATAATAACTGAATTTAGGTGCAAGTTCTGTACCTGGTTACTTGAGTATTGCTAATATGGATTAAGTAGGGGCTGAAAGTAAGCAACTGAATACTATCTTTCTCTTACTGATATTTGATTTGTGCATGGAGGGAAGAATTTTTAAGCAATATTTTTGCTTTCTATTTATTTTTGTTATTGTTTAGTCAGTTCTTTTGGGTGCATAAATTAGGCATGCACAAACTGTTCAAGCTTTGTATGGATATAAGTTCTGGTTTAATTCTTGGTTATCTGAGATAGTGATCTGAACCTCTAATTGGTAGAGATTGGTAGCATAAGAAAAGTATGAGCGGCAGCTACTGTTTGTATGTGAGGACACTGAGCTAAACAGGTGTTCAGGATCTACAGTGAGCATAGGCTTTGTGTATAGAAGATGGATAACCACATGCCTGTGTCTTAAATCTACATCTTCAATTTGTTTTTAACCAGCTACAGTCATTTGGTAAACTGTGTAGTAAAGGGCTTGAACTTGCTGGATGCTAAGCAGCGTGTAAATCTTGAGTTCAGTGAAGGCTGAATCATAGGCTTGTGTGGTCCATCTTTATAGTCTACCCCTTAATCTAATTTGCAGTAGGTGAAAAGCATCAGTTTATGAACTGTGAATAGGAGGCAAAAGTTAAAATTTTAGTCCTGCTTGAGAGGTAATCAAAGGCAAAATTTAAGGTAAACATTTAGTTTTGCCCTTACTGACACCTCTGTTCTATGCACTAATTTGTGACATTCATATCGGGTATGACTCCTGTAGATACAGTGTATCGCTAAAACAGAGCTTAGCGAGGCTTCATGTGAATAAGAAGAGAAAGAAAATCCAGCACTTCTGGGCAGTAAAACTTGCACCTTTATTATTCTTGGTTGTCAGTTCCAGTTTTGTTGTGCCTTCTTTTGAAGCACCATATACTTTCCAACATCTGGATTTGCAAATAGTTGCAGATTAGATGGACTTCCAATTGGTCTAGTATAACACTTTTTCCAAAGTTCTTTATGTAGGGAA